TCTTGGGCTTCCCAGCCTCCAGAACTGTGAGGAGTAAATGTCTGTAGTTTATAAGCCACCCAGTCTCTGATATTCTGTTAAAGCAGCCCAAGCAGACTAAAGACACACATATACATGGTACTCCATAAAGATAGCGGATCAGTCTGATTTTGCTGAGCACCCACTTAGCATCAAGGGAAGCTTCTGAGCTGCAGGAGAGCTCTCAGCAGTGGTCACAGTTTGAAAACACCTTAATGAAAGGAGCTTTTAAACATGCCCCTGTGGAGTGCTTCCTTGCAGGGGTGCCTGGCCCCACCCTGTCAGATGCTTCCTTTTACGCAGGTACCTGTCAGCAGCGAGGTTGTTATTTGTTTTCTTATGCAGGAGGCATCATAAGGGCTGCTCTTTTTCTCAGTGCAGTTTTCCTTAAAAAAAGTACAGTTTCCCCACCAGTTTTAGGCTGCTGTCTGTACAGAGACAAAGCCCAGAATTGCTTTTGGCCAAAAGCAAAATTGTGTAGTTTGTTCTTTGAATCCCTAAGTCGTTGTAATAATTGAAAAAGAGTTGTTTCTCAGTACAAATTTGTTCATTGAATTGGATTGGATTGAATTGAGATGAATTATTGAATTGCATTTCACATCTAATGTAACCTACACGACCCTTTTCATTAGCTTTAGTGACAGACACTGCTACTTCTGTTTTCCCAGTTAATGCCTAGATTTGAAGGCTTGTGCAAAAAACTTATCAGCTGTGTGACCTTGGGCAAGTTACTTAACCTCTCTGTACCTCCAATTCCTCATCTGTTAAATAGGAATTATGATTCTCCCTTAAAGAACTGTGATAAGAATTACATGTAAAGTATCTGGAATCATGTCTGACAAATATTAACAAGAAAATCAATCTCTTAACATACACTCAGGACACTGCCTGTGAAACAGCTCAGAAACTAGGAGCACATTCGGTCCAGAGAGTTTAATCAGTCCTGTTCCAAATGCCAGATGGAGGGAAGTAGGTTATCAGTGGTCAATTCTCTAAAAGGTGTCAATCTTGCTTGGGTGGTCATTTTTTCTATGGCTTCTGAACAATGTCACTATTGAAAACTGGTTCTCTCCAGGAAGATGTGTTCTTATCTACTGTTGCAATGATGTCCTTGGGTCCTTCTAGAGACTCTGTAATAGTCCCAGACTTATATATCCAAGATTACAGCTTTTTAAAGAACATGCTCTGCCATTGAGCTCCAAATAATATCACTCCATCAGGGCGGCTAAGTCGAGAAGAGCTTCAGGCTTCAAAGACCCATCCTTCTGGAATAAACATCTAAGCCCTGGTTATTGGCCCCTGCCTTCATGACAAGTTGCACTATAGGGACCCCGAGTGTTTTCCTTCCAATAACCTCTATAGAAACCTTCTCAAGCCAATAGAGATATTCTAGAATTGTAGAACCTCCCAGGAGAAGATTCACACATCTTTGTCCTTTTTCTCCCTAGAGGACTACTGTGGTTCCCTACATACATCTGTCCATCCCTCTCCAGGACCAGCTTTGATTACTGAAGGTATTGGAAGGGGTAGCCTTTAACAGACTATGAATGGTCCCATCTGCTTGCCTAACAGCAATAATCAAAAGTCCAGGATGGAAGCCAGGAGAGCCACCAAATTTGAGAAGGGGCTTAACCCATTCCTATGGGGTATCTGCTTCTTAATAAATTATTTTTCATTCTGCCTCACTGGTCGCTAGCAACCCTTATTTTTATCTGGAAAAGTAATGCATTCTTTATGGACATAAGATATTTCTCCCACCTATAAGATCTATTCATCATGGTCCTTTGTGTGAACTTCTGAAGGAGCATAAAAGCCATGTTATCTTGACCTATGTATTTCAAACTCTTAGTACACCTCTGTACCCCATATGAATTAAAATCCTATCCACTCTCTTAAAGTGTGTCTGGGTTGACCTAAAGTTCTATTCTTGCAATGCCTAAGAACATCTCAGATTTCTTTTGAGGATTTGGTACTACCTATTATATTCAGGAATATATGCAATTACGGTGAGAGCCCTGATAGACACACTAGTCCATTTTCTGCTTCTTGGGAAACTTTCACACGTTCACTTAACATTTGTTGAGTGTTAGTAGTAAACAAGGGCAGCACAGATCCTGCCATCAAGGAGCTTGCAATTCTAATCAGTAAAGAGAGACCCAAAAAAGGGGAAAATCCCAGTGATTACAATCTTGGGTCATAAGAGATATGGAAGAGAAAAATCTGAACAGTGTTTTCTGAAGATATGTGCAAGGGGACATAAACCTAGCAAAGAGTGGAGACAAGTAAGGGCAAGAAAGTGGATTCAAAGAGGGTAGAAACTGAGCTGCATCTTGAAGGTAAGGATTTAACTGAAGAGAAGGAGGATATCTGAGACAGAGGCTACAGCATGTGCAGGCTTTTGCAAAATATCCATTGTACAAAGTGACCTGCAAGGAGCGTTGAAATGGCTAGTGCAGGGTCAAGGTCAAGGCAGTTGAGCTTGCACATCTAGGAAAGTGCTCCCCGTGTCGTTGTCAGAACGTTAGACTTTGTCCTGTAAAGCACAGGTTGAAAATTGATGAACCCATAGATTTATGGTTTTCAGCACGCTTCCAAAATATTTTTTAATCAGTAAATGTATCAGTAACTCTTTGTACAGAAACAAAGGACCCAGAATCTCAGTGGCTTTCAACAGCATTGCACTTTCTTACTCATGTTCATGTCTGTTGAAGGTTGACCCCAGGTTTACTCCACAATCTGTTCATTCTGACACATAGGCTGAAGGAGCAGGGCCTGTCTGGGATGTGCATTCTTGTAGCAGAGGGAAAAGAACGATGGAACAACCCCGGCAATGGCTCTTAAAGTTTCTGCTTGGCCATGGTACATGTCAATTTCACTCTCATTTCATTGGCCAAAACATGGCACGTAAGAAAGCCCCAGGTCAATGGACTGGTTAATGTAGTTCCTCCTATATGTTGGGCCTGGTAAGAAGGGATAGTGAATATTTTGAACAAATTATTTTATCTACCACAGTAGCCAATATTTAAAACTTCACAGATTTCACAGAAAAGTCAAGACTTCCAGGCTTTATTGGAAAAAGAAAAAAATAGCTGGCAACATGGAGCTCTGTTTCCATGGGGCAGCCATTAGATAGAGCTGAGTTTCAGCCACACCTTTTAGACCAAGGAATGCTTCTTTCCAGTTTGTCAGAGTTCCCACACTGCCTGCTCACTCATTTTTGTTACCTTCCCAGCTCGGATTAAGCCAATGAGTTTGCAACCTGAAGCAACAGGCAGTTACTGAAGAGATGAAGGACGTGAATGAAAAATGTTGCCTGCCATTCCAGTAAACAAAGGATGTTGCAGCCATCAAGCCCTCCCATTACAGCCGCCCCAATGGTGAGGCCTGATGAAACTCGGAATGGAGGCAGGATCCCCTCCCCATCTAGTAGTCAGCCGCTCTAGTCACCCCGACAGTGTACCCTGAGGAAACTCAGGATGCGAAAACACAGGATAGTGACCCCAAATAGCATAACAAAGGAATAATTTCAGTGAGCCCAGACTCTTGCATCTTCCCATACAGAGAAAAGCACCAATATCATTAACTTGAGATGTCTAGTTTTCTTTCATTAACAGTAGTCTTTTGATGTTCCCCACTACCTGGTCTTTGTTGCAAAAGCCCCTGTATATCCTGGCTCTCCGCTTGCCTCTTCGGAGCAGGCTCTCAGAGTGATCTGAGAGTCCTGTCTCCCAGGCTTGAAGTCTGCAGAATGTCTGCCGAATAAGACATAACTCTTAACTTTTAGGTTGTGCATTTTTTTTTCATTTGACAAGGAGAAAGGTGATGGGATCAGATCTACTTTTCAGACAGTTTAACTTGAGAGTCTGAAGTTGAAGGAGACCCCAGAACAGAGCGAGGAACACTAGTGAGGAGGTTACTGCAATAATCCCTAATCTAGCCTAAGCATGTATTTAAAAAAAAAAAAAAAAACAGACACCAGAGGCTCTACCCACGATTAAATGTGGAGCAACAAGCTAGAGGCAGCATTCAGCTAGAAGCAGCCAGCAACAGCCAAGAGAGTAACACTTCCCTAGTTGCCTTGAGGCATTGAAATCCACCTGCTCCTCTCCGAACTGAAGGGGGACTCCCAGGGGTGCCTTTCTTTTTCTTTTCTTTTCTTTTTAACTTTTTATTTTATATTGGAGTACAGTTGATTAACAACATTGTCTTAGTTTCAGGTGTACAGCATAGTGATTCAGTTATACATATCCATGTACCTATTCTTTTTCAAATTCTTTTCGCATTTAGGTTGTTACATAATATTGAATACAGTTCCCTGTACTTGTTGGTTATCCAGTGGTGCCTTTCTCAACACTGGTTGGGGGCCCCTAGAGGAGAGGGGGTAGGGGGTGAGGGACTGAGGGGGTGGGAGGGTACATTCTAACAGGTAGGATGAAATAGCCATTTTCCTCTCCTATCCTCTCCCCAGCCTCACTTCTCCCAGCCACCCTCCCTCGGGCAACCCACTATTGGCCTAAATTAAGTTTTCTAAAGGCGGAGAGGCTCTGTGCTGATTTTTGCTGAAGAGCATTGAATTCAATAAAACATAATTATCGGTTTAATTAAAACAGTTGCTCTGTGAGAAGTGAAGTTTTTTTACTAGCCAGCAGAGATGGAAGAGCCCTCATTCATTTCCAGTGTAGCTTCTGAAACAAATTGGGCTGCTTTTTTTTAATAGACACATTCTAAGTGCGGCTTTGAAATGGATCCCCTAGTCATTCATATGCAGTAATTCCATCACTGAATAAGGTGCCTTTCTCATTGGCTGCCTTTCTGGACGGAAAGAGGAGGCTCTGTGAGCCCAGACTAGGAGAAGATGCATAATTCATGGCCCTTCTTCTGGGGCCCCTCTGTGCCCCTTTCTGCTTCCTTGTACTTATATTTGAAAGGAAACGTGAGGCTGGGGACTGTCCCGCTGTGGGGCTTCCACATCCTCTCTTGATCTAGTCGGAGAGATGCTGCCCAGGAGGACAAGCGGCCTTCAGAGGCGGCTGGACCCTGGTTCCCCCACCGCCGGGCAAGGTCAGACCCCTACAGGGCTGAGCACGGGAAAGAAACCGAACTGGGAGAGTGGAGGAGAAGGTTGTCCTCCTTGGCACGGTGGATCGGAACCTACAAGGGTCAGACGACGGCAGTCCAGCCCCCCTCTCCCCGGAGAACCCTCCTTCCGCACCTGCAGCCACAGGCGGGAGGGCGGCTGCGTGGGCGGGCGCATCACTTCTGTTAGCGGAAGAGAATCATGATACGTCCTCGGAGAAGACATTTATGAGGTGATGACACGTTTTTAATTAAATGCCTTATGTATATTATTAATCCATTCCTCCTGGAAAGATAGACGGTGGCACATTATCAATGTGAGACGAGCCGGTGTATATCCGAATGCGCACACACAGCCTTTCCCCAGACCCTGGGAAGGCTCTGCAGCATCAAAGGCAGCCATGGGAGTTAAAGCTGCCTTGGAAGGGTAAGCTGTGACAAAGTGAGAGTGGCATGGACATATATACACTACCAAACGTAAAATAGATAGTTAGTGGGAAGCAGCAGCATAGCACAGGGAGATCAACTCGGTGCTTTGTGACCACCTAGAGGGGTGGGAGGGAGGGAGACGCAAGAGGGAAGAGATATGGGGACATATGTGTATGTATAACTGATTCACTTTGTTATGAAGCAGAAACTAACACACCCTTGTAAAGCAATTATACTCCAATAAAGATGTGGAAAAAAAATGGGGAATTGTCTTCATCTGAAACTACTGTCAGAATAATCACTTTGTATCATGTACTTAATTACTGTGTATTAAAAGGTATTGCATTTGAAAAAGGAAAAAAAAAAGCTGCCTTTGTTACAGCCTTCGAGCTGGTCTCAAAATCTGTGCTGCCTCTGGCCTCAAGCCTGCGCCGGGGGCCAGTGGGACTTGTGAACATGCCCTTGGCACCTGCGGGCTCACGTTTCAACCTGGAGCCCTGTGATCAGCTACGGTTTTAAGAAGCCACTGGGTTAGAGGTGGCGCACACAAGGCGCTTATTTGCAGACAGTCTGGCGGCACCTTGCCCAGAAAGTGCTCAGCTCCGCGACCGCTGCCCCGCCTCCTTCCTCTCCCTGCGTACCCCCGTTTTCCACAGCGGCCGGCAGCAGCCCCTCTATTTGACTGAGGTTAGTGGTGCCTCCTCCACTAAGCCCCCTGGTGTCAAAGTGGATGCCACCACCATGCTCTTAGATTTAAACAAAACTTAAAACTAGAACAACAATGATAGATATATTTTTTCTTGATGCTGTACAGAATTTTTTCGTTTTATCGAATTTAGTCTGATCTGCCCGTGAGAGAAATATTCTGGAAAGAAAGAATCAGAATAAGTGAACCTGTTCTCCAGATGTTGAGATATTGAAAAGGTCTTTGTTCAATCTGCTTGCAGTTATAACCCTCGCACAGATTCAGGAGGTGTCAGGTCTGGGCTAGACTACAGAATTCATCCTGACCAACTCTTCCATTTTATGGATGAGAAAACTGATGACCAGAATGTAGAATAATAGCTCAAAGCCACACAGATGGCCAACCGGATATAGAGCCAAAGTCTTCCGTTTACCAGTCTACTCAGTTTTAGGTGAAGTTTATTCCAATTCAGGCAAGCTTAGACGTCACATTGGATAACTATCTATTAGCAGATCCTGCCGACTCTGCTTCCAACATGAATCCTATTATCTATTCATAAACACAACAATTATATTGATCATTAAATAAAATTACTATTTGTTATCTATTAGCCAAATTTATTAGCAGGTCCTGCCGACTCTGCTTCCAACATGAATCCCATTATCTAGTCATAAACACAACTATTATATTGATCATTAAATAAAATTACTATTTGTTGAGTGCACATATGCTGGGCACTGTCCTAAGTACAGAGCATATATTCTTCATTAATCCTCACCTTCATTAATCCTCAGTGTCCTGTGGACGTTATTATGAATATACCCATTTTACAGATCAAATATGTTTGAGGTCAGAAATTTAGTCACTGGCAAAGATAAAATTCAAATTCTGGTCTGTTTGATTTCACTACACTGCTGCTGGCTTAGAACTTTCTAACACTTGACCTATTATAATTGTTATTTTGCAAATAAGGAAATTAAGGAACTGAGAGGGTAAGGTGAATGGGGCTGAAGTGCCACAACAGGGAAGTAGAAGATGGGATTTGAACCCAAACCATCCGGGTCCAGGGTCCACCCACATACCCAGCATGCTAAGGTGAGAGCAGGAGATCAGGTACTTATATCCCATCCACATTGCTGGACAGGGACAAGAAGGCCATGGGTTCCCAATCATTTTCACGATGGAAATAAGAGTGGATGGAGCAAGAGAAATCAGGCTATCACTAGAGGAACTGTGTCCTGATTTTTTCCTGCAGAGTCACAGTGAGACCCGATCAGATTTCATTTCTCTCCATCACCTGAACTTTATTCTGGGCACTCTGCCTTCATCCCAAATCTCCTGGGGAAAGAAGGACATATTCTGCTTTCCTGCAACGAGTCACCAATGATCACAGGGAACAGGGACACAAGAACCCAAAGGAATAACATGCTTTTCTGCTCCATAAAAGGCAACGCTCACCCACCCAGTCACACTTCATAAGGAAGAGTGACCCAGGAGGTGGAAGACAGCTAACCAAACACTCTGGAAACATAACTAGGGCCAAAGGAAGTGTGCCATGGCCAAGAGAAGGAGGCACCGTGAAGACTTTCACCCCAGATCACATCAACTGTACACATACTGAATGTATAATTATTGTCTATAGGAAACCACGTGCAATGACATTTCAAGAAAAAGTATTATTGCTTCCATAAAAAGAGGTACGTCAACAGCTTTAAATGGTTTCTGGCCTTTCCTCCTTAAGCCAAGTTGTCAAAGTGTGGGAAAGAATCCCTCGAAATGGTTCTCCATTAGGGCCACAAGACAGTAAAAAAAAGGCACCTCCCACAGGGATGGCATTGGAAGCATTTACAATTGACAAGCCCACTGAAGCCTCAACAGGTATTTATAAAAGGTATTTGGAAATGTACTTCAGAAAGAATCACTTCAAGTTTCACAAACAGTCTGCCTGGCCACATCCTCTAAGGCAGCTGACAAATTGGTCATTACCTTATTTAGGTAATATATGGGATATTAAAAATCAAAGGCCCTGCCATTTTCCTTTATAAGATTGAGCCTCTGCCTAGATTTCTTGAACTAGTGCCTCGAAAGAAAAATTTTTAATGAAGTGACAAACTAATTCTTATAAAATTAGATGCTAACATTT